ATTATTATCATTGTCCGATGATATTCGATTGTGCTCACCATCAGTGACCATTTTTTATTTGTACTTGGATCAAATCTTTTCGATGTAAATTTATGAAAGAATATCTCAGGGAATAATAATGACTGTAGACCAATTCAAGTAATCGATTGCACCGGATAGAATTATTCATGATAAGTTGCAGATTTTAACTTATATATTAATTTTAATAAAATGAAGAAGCTATATTTAACTATTAATAAAATGAAAACCTATATTTCTTTAACTTATATATTAATATTAATAGAATGAAGAACTATATTTCTAAATTCATCTATATTTAGGAATTTTGTTAACATTCAAATAAAATTCAAACATAAGTATTTGTAATTGTACAAAAATATTTGTAAAAGATGTATTAATTAAATAAATCAATTTGACACAATGTGATAATCTTCATTATAATTTATTTATTTTTTTAAAAATTATTCTATTAATATTCATAGGAATATTACTGCAACTACTAATAAAATAGACACTGATTTCATTCGTGTAACGTAATAAATATAATCTTTCATGAAAAGTTGTATATTTAAACTTTATCTCAATATTTCTTAGCTCATTTACATTAATATATTATATAAAAATTTCCGTAAAATATAAGATTATCAATATAAATCCATATACAGGGTGTTTCATACATAACACTCCCATAAGAAATTTAAATATCTCCGCTAGATGTCGACCAAATGAGGTGATATTTTTACCAGTGAAAGAGGCTTACTTAAAGTTTTTTTTCATAAATAAACCATGAACAAACTATTGTCCTATATATTAAGATCAACGTCAACAAGGATTTTTTACTTTTTACAGATCCTACAAAATGTTCTAAGGTGACTTATACGCATTTTTCAAGACTTTATTCTCCAGATAATGACATGAGAAGATCAAAAGAAGGTTTATTATATTAATTACAACGAATACAAAGTGAGATTATAAAATAACCTAATTCAAATGTTCGAATTGACGTCCATTAGCATCAATGCACTTTTGAAGTCTTTCTGGTACTGATTCACAAACTTTCTTGCACAGCTCAGAATCTATTGTGGAAAAAGCTGAGATAATTGATTGTTTGAGACTGGATAAGCTTCGATACTTCTTTTGATAAACAATATCTTTCAAATAACCCCACAAAAAATAATCAGCAGGAGTGAGATCAGGCGATCTAGCAGGCCAATCAAGTGCACCACGACGACCAATCCACCTTCCTGGAAAGTTTTCGTCTAACCAATCTCGAACATTAGATGCATAGCGTGCTGGCGCGCCGTCATACATGAAAAAAAAAAGATTCGTTACCTGGTAGATCATAAAATAATGGATAGAAGTGATCATTCAACATTTTGATATAACTTTGATTCGTAACCGTGTCTTCGAAGAAGTACGGTCCTATCACAGCTTGAGACCAAATTCCAGCCCATACGATAAGTCCTTCTGCTTGCATTGTTTGGTCAATCGTAACATTTGGATTTTGAGTTGCCCAATAGACAGAATTGTGTCGATTAATATGTCCATTTAATTTAAATACAGTCTCATCCGACCAGATGACACGATAGATAAGATCAGAATCGTCTTCCAGAAGCGATAAAAATGTGTCGCAATATTCAAGTCGTCGATCAAAATCATCTTCATTCAGTTCATGAATTAGTCTAGGAACATATGGTTTAAATCCCATGGACTTGTACATACGTCGAACTGAAGCCATTGAAATATTCAAGTCTGTGCTCATTCGACGAATTGACGTTTGCGGTTCTTTTTTTAAGATCGACGAAACTTCATCTTTTGTTGCTTGGTCAGTAACTGATACTAGTCTACCAGGTGCATCAATATTAAGTACCGAACCAGTCTGTTCAAATTTGTGCATAAGTGATGTTATAGTCTTTCGATCTGGAGGATTATTATTGATTTCTTTAGACCATAATCGTTGCACATTAATCGGATATTCAAGTCGATACATGTGTTTCACAATCTATGTCTTCTCGTTCACACTCAATTGACGGCGTGCCATGTATTAGTTTGTATTTGAAATTTAAGAATGTATTCACTTCACTTATGATGGAGTCTTATTGTTTGTCTATAAGAGAGTATAAATAGATTAGCAAAAGTTTATTAAAAACATTCTAAAACAATCCTATAGTATTTTGTAGAACCTGTAACAAGTAAAAAATCCTTGATGACGTTGGTCTTAATATATAGGACAATAGTTTGTTCATGGTTTATTTATGAAAAAAAACTTTAAGTAAGCCTCTATCACTGGTAAAAATATTACCTCATTTGGTCGACATCTAGCGGAGATATTTAAATTTCTTATCGGGGTGTTATTTATGAAACACCCTGTATATTTAAATATACCATAGCTGTAAATCCAATAATATTTAAATATAACATGGACATTTTAATATCTTCAAATTCATTTAAATTTTCATATTGTATCATCATTTCTGGAATTATCAAATTTTTATCAATATCTTCAAGTTAATCTATATTTACATATTGCATCATTATTTCTATAATTATAATCTAAT